AATTTTAAATTACTCACTATTTTATACAAGTAAAGGTTTTTGAAAAGTCAATGTGACACTTCGGACTTGAATCCGAGTCGGATACGGGTTGGGGGTGTTACAGCGATGCAAGAAGAAACTAAAGCCCTTTATAAAAATAATAAATGGGACCTTGTGCCACTACCACAAGGAAGGAAGCCAATTGGTAACAAATGGGTCTTCAAAATAAAGCGAAATAGTGATGATCAAGTTGAGAGGTATCGTGCAAGACTGATAGTCAAAAGATATGCTCAAAAAGAAGGTATTGATTTCAATGAAATCTTTTCTCCTGAAGTTCAACTAACAACAGTTCGAGTAGTCTTGACAATGTATGCTACATTGAACTTACATCTAAAGCAGCTAGATGTTAAAACAACTTTTCTTCATGGAAATCTTGAAGAAGAGATTTACATGCTCCAGTTTGAAGGTTTGAAGAAAAAGAAAAGAATAACTTGGTTTGCAGGTTGAACAAATCTCTATACGGTCTAAAGCAGGCGCCGAGGTGTTGGTATAAGAGATTTGATTCATTCATTATGTGTCTTGGATGCAACAGACTTAATGCAGACCCTTGTGCTTATTTCAAGAGGTTTGGTGATAACGATTTTGTTATATTGATGTTGTATATGGATGACATGTTGGTTGCAGGACTCAACAAAGATCATATTGAAGAATTGAAGGCACAATTGGCTAGGGAATTTGAAATGAAGGACTTGGGATCAGCAAACAAGATTCTAGGGATGCAAATTCACCGAGATAGAAGTAATAGGAAGATTTGGCTTTCATAAAAGAATTACTTGAAGAAGATCTTGTCACGATTCAACATACAAGATTGTACGCCAATTTCTACCCCTTTTCCTATTAACTTCAAATTATCCTCCAGTATGAGTCCTAGCAGTGAAGAAGAGATGATGGAGATGTCTTGAGTGTCGTATGCATCAGCATTGGGAAGTTTAATGTTCGCTATGATATGCACAAGATCAGACATTGCACAAGACCAGACATTGCACAAGAAGTGAGAGTGGTTAGTCGGTACATGACGAATCCAGGCAAAGAGCATTGGAATACAGTAAAGAGGATCATGAGATACATCAAAGGGACCTCAAATATTGCATTATGTTACAGAGAATCAAACATACTTATCAATGGGTATGTCGATTCTGAATATGCAAGGGATTTGTATAAAATCAAATCTACTATAAGATATGTGTTTAAAATTGCTGGTGGAGCTGTAACCTGGGTTTCAAAATTGCAGTCAGTTGTTGCTACGTCCACAACAGAGGCAGAATATGTAGCAGCTACACAAGCCAATAAAGAAGCAATTTGGTTTAAGATGCTATTGGAGGAGCTTGGGCACAATAAAGAGTATGTCTCTCTGCTTTGTGACAGTCAAAGCGTCTTGCATCTAGCAAGGAATCCAACATTTCATTCAAGGACAAAGTATATACGAGTCAGTACCATTTCATTCGTGAAAAGGTGGAAGAAGGGACGGTAGATATGCAGAAGATTCATATCAAAGACAACATAGCAGATTTCATGACGAAGGCAATCAATGCTGATAAATTTATTTGGTGCCGATCCCCTGTCAGAGACGTAAGTAAGATGATGATACAAGGTAGAAAGAATGGTGTAAAGATATGCTTGTTTCAATCAAATCTTCAAGTGGAAGATTGTTGAAAATTGGTGCAAATCACATGCACCGAAAGCACCGAAAAAAAGGGTGCAGGAATTGTCAAAAAGTGGCAGAAATTGTTGAATTTCATGGATGGTAAAATTGCATATTTAGTCTTTATACTTTAGGGTATTTACAAGATTAGTCCTTAAACTTCAACTATAAATACTCTAACCCATTTAGCTTTAAAACCATCCTAAATCATTCTAGCTTTCTCCCCATACTGGAGAATTTAGAGAGAATTGTCATTGTTTTCTCCTTGTTAGATCGAGAGAAGTTGTAATTCTTATTTTCTCATAGTGAAATTCTTATATTGCTGCCCGTGGTTTTTATCCTATATTATTTAGGGGTTTTCCATGTAAAATTTATGTATTCTTTATCTTTATTTTTATTTTCTCAAATTATTAGTTATGATTTTGCTCTATCCGATAGCCGCATTCCGCAACAGTTTTGCCCTTTATTTTGGTGCAGATAAATAGTTTTTGATGAGCTGATTGGTATTGGACTATTGAATTTGCCATGGAAAACCAAATATGGTTGGGGAATAAGAATTCTTCTAAGACGAGTCTGGTGAAACCGAGAGTTTTCGATCAATATCTTCGAATTCTGAAAGATATTCTGATGATCAGGTTTGTGGACAGATAGCCTACTCCTTAACAATGACCAGTTTTAAGTATCCAGAAAGCTTGAATGTTTCATTTTCTGTAAGTGTGGAAGTGAACCTTGTGGGTGAATCTTTGTTTTTTTCCTTATGGTTTGGTCTATCTTACTCCGACTCTTCATTTCTTTTAAATTATTCGAAAGGACATATGAAATGTTGCACATGCCCGTCCTAAAATTTATATGTTTTTGTTCTCGGATTAGAGTCCGAGCTGCTTTGCTCTTCATGTTCAAGGTATCTTAATCATTAGTTGTTGAAGCAGGAGGCTATCAGGGCATCACCTAATAGTAACACGCAATCATCCGATGCATCGTCAAAAGCTTCATCCAATTCGAAAGATTTTAACGATGACAGTAAGAGCTTGACGGAGAAACTATCAGCTGCCCTGGTTAATGTTAGTGTCAAAGATGACTTGGTTAAGCAACATTCCCAAGTTGCTGAAGAATTCAATGCTGGTATTACTTACATGTGACCAAACTTTCTTACATTCATCTTCATTTTCTTATACTCTTTGCAATAAATTCTAGTTAATTCTCTCAAATGGACCTCAGGTTGGGAGAAGGCTGAAAATGAAGTAATGGTATTAAAGCAAAAGATTGAGGATGTAGTTAAGAAAAACTCAACACTCGAGGATCGAATGAGCCGTCTTGATGGAGCTCTCAAGGAATGTGTCAAGCAACTAAGACGGAGAAGAGGAACTAGAGCATAAGGTTGTTGAAGTCGTAGCAAAGACTACTCGGGATTGGGAAACTACCAAATTTGAACTCGAGACCTGGTTGCTTGAGTTCCAAAATAAAGCCGAATCTGCTAACTTCAGTCCTGACCTTTGGCATAAGATTGAAGCTTTGGAGAAGGAAAATTCAGCCCTCAAGCATGAGCTCTCATCATATTTGGAAGAGATAGAATTCAGAACAATTGAAAGAGACCTAAGCACCCAAGCAGCGGAAACGGCGAGCACACAACACTTGGAGGGCATAAAGAAGGTAGCGAAGCTTGAGGCCGAGTGCCGAAGAGTTAAAGCAATAGGTTGCCAATCATGCTTTGTTGAATACCTTACGGATAGTCAATCAGATTCATGGGCCTCAGCCTTAATTGCTGAACTTGATCAATTCAAAAATGAAAAGGTTACCAACAGAAATATCCCAGTTCTATTGAGATTGATCTAATGGATGATTTTCTTGAGATGGAGCGACTCGCTGCATTGCCTGAAACCGAGAGAGAATATCAGTGTCTTGAATCAAAAGCTACCGTGAGACAATCAAATGATGGTGCTAACTTGTTGAAGGCTGAACTTGAAGGCATGATTCATCGAACTGCAGAACTTGAAGAGAAGTTAGAAAAGTTGGAAGTTGAGAAGGTTGAACTAGAAATCACTCTTGCCAAAAGTCAAGAACATCTTGAAACATCGAAACTACAGTTGAGAGATATGGAAACGAAATTGTCAGAGCTGAGAACGAAATTGTCGGAGCTGAGAACAGAGCTTTGTATGACGAATGAAGCTAAGCACCATCTTGAGTCACAACTCCGTACCTTGGAAACAGATGCAAAGAGAATGTCCACAAAGATTGACTCATTAGAAGCGGAAATTGAAAAGGAAATGACCATGTTGAAGCAAGTTTCAGTTAACACATATGCATCAAAGCAACTTATCAAGTCTCAACTCATTAGCATCAAAGCATAGGTTCATATGACGTATGTAGAGGTCGATTCATCAGAAACAGAAGTTGAAAAGGAAAAGGTATTTTCATCACAAATTTCAGAGAAGTGTCAAGAATCGGAAGAAGAGCTCTCAAGAAAGCAACAGGAAGCTGAGCTCCAGCAAACTGGAAACTATATCGTTGAATCAAAGATAAAACAGGTAACTTTTCTGGTCATCATGCATTTACACCATCTTAAACCATCTATAGTTTAATTATAATATATGTTACATCTCTCTAAGAGTAACGAGACCCTATGGCAGGAGCAGCTGGCAAACTTGCTGAGTGCAAAAAACAATAGCATCTTTTAGTCAGCAATTGAAATCTCTTGCAACACTTGAGGACTTCTTAATCGATGCCGCAAGCACACCGGAGTTCTCTAGAGGAGGATCATTGATGCCCCAAGCTGGTGATGGAGAACCTTGGAAATTACATTCTAATGAAAGCTATTCACCCAAAAGAGATCCAGAGTCTCCAAGAGTTAGTGCTGACTCTCATGGTCAATCATTGAATAAGGACGGAAACACACCGCCGTCCTCATCCTCATCTTCATCATTTGTGTCATCGAATCATGCGAGTTCAGAGAAGAGCCGAAATGGATTTGCGATGTTTACAATTCGGGGTAAGAACGGGATACAACTAGAAATTTAAGAGAAATAGATAGGTTGTAGTATGAAAATTTTGTTTGTCATTTGACAGACAGTGGAATCACCATTTAGTTAATTCACTATTAGAGATTGTCTAAACTCTGAATACAAAAGATAGTAATTTAAATTTTGAACTTCAAAAACGCTGTATGGAGGAGACAATCTATGGCCTCCTTGTTGTGCTCTTCTTAATCACGGTTCCATTAAAATCTTAACGCCAGGCGCCAGGTAAGTCCAGTTTCCAACTTTGACGTATGAAACGGTTTGTCTTTTATCTACGCGCGTAATATACACCAAAGCTGCCACATTTCATTATTCCATCCTTCCTTCCGACAAAGCATTGCCTAAAAAAAAGATCAGTAGATCCACCAAGGGACACCGAATCACAACACTAGAAGAGATAAGAGGAGACCACCAGAGATATGGCAGCCAGCAGTGCAATAGGAAGCTCCCCGGTGGAGCCAAACATAACGTGGAACGAGACCCAAAGGAGGTTCGAGACAGAAGACAAGAAAGCCTACGTCGAATACGTATTGAGACAAGACGGAAAAGTAATGGACATCGTCCACACTTTCGTCCCATCTTCCAAGCGAGGCTTGGGCTTGGCTTCTCATCTCTGTGTTGCTGCCTTCAATCATGCCAAGTCCCACTCTTTATCGATCATCCCTTCTTGCTCTTATGTCTCCGTTAGTCCCTTCTCTCCCTCTCTGTTTCTTTCCATGGGTTTTTTTTGTTTAACTGTTGGATTTGGCTCCTGCGTTTCTATATTCTTGTTTTGGTTCTCAAAATCCGATGAATTGTGAAATATTTTAGGATAGGTTAAAACGTTGCTTACTGCTACTGTATTTGTATGATTTAGGAACTCTGGTTTATTTAGAACTAAACTTGATTACTAAAGGATTAGAGTCTTCAGAGGGAAAATTTTCAAACTTTTAAGATGGAAATTTCGATCAATTGAATTACACAAACCAATTTTACCTTTTTCAATCCAAATGCTTTCTTCCTCACATTATTCAGTTTCGACCACAGGCTTAAAACACTGTTGTTTAGCCATCTATTGTTTGCTTACATGTCCTTTTTCGGCATCCCTGTTGCTGATCAGCTTTTGCATTAGCATTTTTATGTTGCCTATGCTTGTCTTCTGTTCAAATCAAATGTTTAATTGAGATTGGAATCTGGGTAAGCAGATTCTGCATAACAAAAGCTTCTTCCCATGCTTTCTAGATCATGATCATCTTTCATACTTCTAAACCATATGATGACATGCTGTGGTCTTTTTTGTTTATTAAACAAAGTGACTAATTTGATGATAATATCCAAGACTTGAGCAAAAAATAGGGTAGTTTTTACTTAGAAAGTGTCATGGTTAATGATAGTCATTTACAAGTTAAATTACCTATAAAAAAACCCTGCTTTTTTAAAGCAGGATAGGAAATTCTTACTATTTAACTCGGTGATTGGTCCATGATCCTTTACTCAAATACCAGGTTTGGAATTCCATTTTTTTCCTAATAAGAAAACAATCTTGTATGCTTTCCTGTCTAGACGAGTTAGCCTATGTATGCAGAAATGTCGAGTAAAATGTTATGTTACGTATAGAGTTATGAGCTCTCTGGTGTCTGCAAAAAATGATATTTGGCTGTCACTATTCAAAGGAAATATGGAGGAATATTCTGTTATTATATGGCCTTCAAAGACCTGTATTGGGATGGCTATGAGCGCTGCAATGGACTTCGACAAAATTGAAAGGCAAAGCATTGCTATCTATTATTTTACGGATAGCTTGAAATGCTTTTATATACATGATATGGTCCATATTGGAGGGAGAGAAATGGAAGAATACATGGAAGAAGTCCAAGAATTGAGCAAACTATACTTTCTGAGATAAAAGAGGCTGTGTGATTAACACTTTCTGATGTAAAATTTAGACTTGTGTATTCTGTTAAATATACAACTAAGCTTAGCATGGGTATAACACGAAAGGGGGGGGGGGCTAGATTTTTAAATGGTTACTTTATAGTTGACTATACTGTTGGATTGTAGCAATTATTTGCTTTTCATCTAGAAAAACTACATTCTTTTAACATTTTTTGAGTCGTTGGATGATGCAGTTGCTTCAATAACTTCAAGAGTTCCCATTTGCTAATAGGTCCGATAAGTTGTTAAATAGGGTCCCCTTTCTGCTACAAAGTGCAGATGTTCCTTTCTTGATGAGGAAATTAGATTCCTTTGGATGCGCTTTGACATCCTGATTAGATCCTTTGAACCGTATATACTTCTGGTACTGGTTATGTTGTGGTTCAGAAGTCTATATGTTTCGATCATATGTTTGTTTTGCCCTTTTTCAGGACACTTTTCTCCCACGGAACCCGTCTTGGAACAGTTTATTATACTCGGAAGAGCCAAGATCCAATATCTAAGTAGCTGCATCACTTTGTTGTTGGGGTTATGGAGATAGATAAGGCTGCTATATTCATCGCCCCTTCGGACGTCACAGATACTCTACTTGAAGCCAAATAATAATTTGATGTACTCTTAGCGGGTAATATCTTTACAGTTGCTTTTGCATGTGATATTGATTCCATTAAAGTTTGGTGACAAACATAAGTTGGTGTATAGATCCTGCATCATGAATCTATGGTCCATCGCATGAACTTAAAACATATAATCTTGTATTTTGGCATGGCTCTTGACGTATATTAGTAACTTCTTTATTTAGTGGTCTGACGTTACATAGATCAATTAAAGAGTCCAATTACGTGATCTACTGAGGTTTGAAATTAAATGATTTTTAGGTTAAAATACATTAGTCCTATACTTCGATAAATTTTTTAAGACTTGATCTATATACTTTAAACTTAAAATTAAATCCTCTTATTTTTTATACTTTTTAAAATTCGAGTTCACTCAATAACATCATTAGTATTTTTTGTCAATATAAATGAACATGCCAAATTGATAAATTTTGATAGAAAATATTGTAAGTGTAAATGATGGGATTAAGATTCTTAAATTGAAAAACAAGAAGGTTAAAATTTTAACTTTAAAAGTACAGGGAATGACAGCATATTTTAACTCCTAATAACTATTGGTTAAGATATCGTGTTTAAAAAAAAATTGGTATAATCGATTCATTGGTTGAATGATTCATATCGAATACCGTAAAGATGTATTATAAGAGTGATTCTCTCAATCAAGTTATTTCATTTAAAATGTCATAATTTGATTTCTGAATAGTAATATATTTAACTCCCTAATAAGTATTGGTTAAGATATCAAGTTTAAAATTTTTTTTGGTATAATCAATATTTGATTTGACTATTACAGAGTAATTCTCAAAACTCAATTTATTTCATTTGTAATGTCATGATTCGAATTTTAAATATTATTTAAAGAACATAATGCTCATAACATTTGATTAAGTACTAACTTTGGCATATTTTTTTGGTAAAGTTTTGACCCTTCAATGTTTTATTTTAAGGTAAAAAGGTCTTTTCGTAGATAGAAATCGTTAGTCAACAAATGATCCACACTCTAAAATATAAGTCTTTTTATCTTAATATGAAACATTAAGAATAAAATTTTTCAAAATATGAATAAATATTAAACTAATTATTTAATAAAATATTATAGACTTTTTATATTAAAAATGAATTATTAAATCCAAAATTTTTAAAAAAAAATTAAAATTAAAATAACTATTTAATCATCTTAAAAATATCAAATCTTCCCCTCAAAAAATGAAAGGAATAAAACCAAATGGCTAGTTCTTCCCAAATCATATTATATCATCACTGTTTTAAAATAAGAGTGAACTATACAGATCATCCTTATGTTTTCGGTCTGATCGATTTTGATCATCAGATTAAAAAACTGGTTTTGGTCATTTATGTTATCGGTCTGTTTGGTTTTAGTCATTCGACCGTTAACTATTGTTAATCCCTTACAGAAGTATTACGTGATAATTAAAATATTAAAAAAATATGTGTCTTCTTCTTCTTCTTCGCATTTATCACAAGTTGCAAGCAAGTTAGCCATAAGTTCTTCCCCTTGCTTCCCGTACTTCAATCACACCCCAAATACAAACCTCCTATGAAAGATCTCGTTCTTCATTCTTTTGATGCTGACACTGTCCATGGGTAAAATAACCAAGACTTATGTTGTTAAGAGAGTGGAATTTATTTGATTCAATGCTGTGCTCCTCATACATTGCCCCTAAGTTGAAGACCTGGAGTGATAATGGTATGAAGAAGCCAAAGCTTCTTCTTGCAAGGATGGGATTTGCGGTTGTGGATTGTCAGCAGTACATGAATCATGAAGTAAAACAGAAGATGAAAGATTAAATTGAACAAAGTTTGCCTGAATACGGACTTAATGATTTCTACAAATGTTTCTTGCGTCTACATGGTTATACTTCAAGGGTTTCAGCAGCAGATAAGGTATATGGGGTTACTACGCTGCTTGAATCATTCATGCAATCAGATGGCACGTGTACTTCGAAGCAGTTTGGGGTGGCATACGATGCACTGTCCCTAAGTAATCTTGATAGGCTGAAATCTGAAATGCAACAAGCAATCAAGATACAAAGAGATATTCTTAGAAAAGGAAGTACTTCAATAACAAAGAGTGGGTGCATCAGGAGTGGCAGAAAGTTTATGTGGGTGAAGCTTGAAGATTCAGTAAACACAAAACTGTTGGGTCACCCCATGGGTAAGACTATTTATCCAAGAACATATTATACCTACATATTAAAGCAAAAACCCCCCTTGAAATATTAATTGCTTTGATTAGGCAGTTGGCAGTTTCCAAACCATTCATATAAAAACACTAAATTTTGACCTTTTGTACCTCCGAGTGCATGGCAAAGTGGGCATCTATCGAGTTTAAGATCCAAGCCAAGAAGTATTGGATTGGTATAAAAATTAGCAGTAATAGTTTCACTTTCAAACTTTGAGCTCGTGACATAGCTTGAAAATAGTTGGAAGATCTCGTTTTTCATTCTTTTGATGCTGGCACTGTCCATGGGAGGAGGTTAATTTATGTTTGGGGCATGGCTGAAGTACTGGAAGCAAGGGGAAGAACTTATGACTAACTTGCTTGCAACTTGTAATAAATGTGAAGAAGAAGACATATATTTTTTAAATTTTTTTAATTACAATGTAATACTTCCGTGAAGGAGTTAACATGAGTTAACGGATAAAGGATTAAAATTTAAGGGACCAAAATCATTCTTTTTCTAAACCAGTGACCAAAATCGGTCAGACAGAAAATATAAGGATCATCTGTATAGTTTACTCTTAAAATAAAATGAAAAGAAAATGAAAATTAGTGAAAGTGAGATTCATTAGGAAAGGAAGAAAACCAAAACAAACAATTAGCAGTTCTGCAAGTCGCTAGCAGCAGCACTTCAAGATCCACTAAAGAGTATTGAAGATTTCCAATTTTAAGCAGGTAAAATATTCTCTTTGTAAATCTCTATTTCCTTTTTCATCTCTTTGTTCGGCACATCTGGAAACGGAACCGCTCTCTTTTTCATTTAGTCATTGCATTATTTCACTTCTATTTGTTCTAAACTTGCAGTTTCCATCTGGGTTGTTGTTACCTTTCCCTGTTCTTGGTTTTTGGGTTTTTGCTATATTCTGCCAATATATTGTCCACACCCATTCCAGCCCATAATCTTAAGCAAATATGATGTTTTTCGACTCTCAGATTTGTTTTCTTTTGATGAAAATAGAGATTTGCTTTCTTTATTTCCATGTAAATCCACATTTTATTTTTGCAATCATTTCTTCCATTTCTCATTGTTTCGGGCTTGAATTCCATATGAGAGTATGCGATTTCTTTGGGAGTATATACGGACCGAGAGTCTCCTGATTAGCAGCTAGCTTTTGGGTTGTGATTCTCCTAAGGTTCTAATCAATTTGGATTAAAGATATACGACGTATTTCTCAGTTTCAGTCAGCATATTTGTATTAAGCGTTGCAGATTGTTGCATGCCTAATGTTTGTTTCTTATTTGTTAGCTTGAAAATGTTTTATGATTTTTATTTATTCGTGTTTACTTGGAGGTTAAATATAATTTCAGCAACTTTGTCAGCTTGACGTTTGTTTCTCTTTGCATCAATTCTTAGCTTCAGTTTTTCTTTTAATTTCTGTATTCTGTTTGAACTTTGAAAGATTTTAATGTAGTTTATTGTAGAGTTCGATTTTTTACTTTTATTGATCCTTTTATTCTTTTTTGTTGAACCAATGCCGTCTAAAGATTGGATATGTAACAAGGTTAGTCATTTTGCTTATCTAATTTGGGTGGGATTTAGGTGGCAAGATTCAAAAATTAGTTAGGCAGTTATTGGATTTGGGTATTATGGAACATGATTATGTTAAGAGTATTGGTACCCAAAATAGTGACAATACTAGAGTCATATATCCTTCTATTTTTATCTGAATATAGCCGTGAGTGAACTGAGTGCTATATCTAATAAATTCTCTTTCAGAGCCTTGGTTTGCTTCAGGGTCGACAATTTCTTGGGTTCTGGCTATTTATCTTGGACTTTAAAGCTTAAAAATATTTTAATTTAGATCAATTTCAGTTTCTTAGTGCTTGTGTCCAAATTTGATGCATTTTCTATCGGTCTTGATTTTGATTTGTTTGTAGCCTCAATGATAACCACATTACTTGTTTGTCTCCAACTCTATCATTTTTATATTAAATGGTGATTCCCATGACATGACCTTCTGCGGTGCTGCTACTCTTTTTTTTAGCCGAATACTTCCCTTTGTATATTGGCATGAGTCTGGGAATAAAATTTACTTATTTATTTTATCAGCATAAAAGATTTGTTTGGTCATGGATGAGTCTGATTGTTGGTACACAAAATGGTTGCTCGACATGTTGATATCTTTCCTTCTGCTCCAGTATTTACTTATAAAATAAAACTAATGTTACATTTTATGCATGTTAACCTTGCGGCGAAGATGTCAATCACAGTATCATGAATCTGCTTCATTTCTTATAATTTTTTGCTTTTGCCTAATTTAGTTCACTTTTGAATGTTAAATGAAAAATAAGTTTCCCTGCTCCTGCCGTGGGTTCAATCAGTGAGGGATTGGAAGGCGTGGGATATAGATGTGTACGCTATATGTACTTGCTAATAGTTAGACCTAGTAATAAAATTGTACCTTTTTATTGCCCTTAGATGTCTAAGGATGTGGAGGATCCTGTGAACAATGGTCCTGAAGTCTTAGCTCCCTCTGGTGAAGCCCAAGAAACATGGTATAGTTGTGTACTAAAGCAAGTATCTGTCTATGGAGTAGCGGCAGGATACTGCATCTCAGCTTCTCTTCTTTCCATCATCAACAAATGGGCTATCATGAAATTTCCTTATCCCGGTGCACTAACTGCTTTGCAGTACCTAACAAGTGCAGCTGGTGTACTAATCTGTGGATGGTTCAAGGTCATTGAGCATGATCGGCTTGACCTTCTGACTATGTGGCGGTTCCTACCTGCAGCCGTTATATTTTACCTCTCTCTCTTTACCAATAGTGAACTCCTCCTACATGCTAATGTTGACACTTTCATCGTCTTCCGATCAGCAGTTCCTATGTTTGTTGCAATGGGAGAAACTCTTTTCTTGCACCAGCCATGGCCTTCATTGAAGACATGGATCTCATTAGCCACCATCTTCGGTGGTAGTGTTCTTTATGTTCTTACTGATTACCAGTTCACTTTAATTGCCTATACTTGGGCTGTTGCATACTTGGTAAGCATGTCTATAGATTTTGTTTACATAAAACATGTGGTAATGACTATTGGTCTGAATACATGGGGCCTTGTCCTGTACAATAATCTCGAGGCTGTCCTATTGTTTCCTCTTGAGCTACTAATAATGGGGGAGTTGAAAAAGATAAAGCATGAAATATCAGATGAGTCCGATTGGCACACTTTTGAAGTGATTTTGCCTGTGGGCTTGTCGTGTTTATTCGGGTTGGCTATATCTTTCTTTGGTTTCTCTTGCCGAAGGGCAATTTCTGCTACAGGTTTCACCGTTCTCGGTATTGTTAACAAGCTATTGACTGTTGTGATTAATTTGGTCATTTGGGACAAACATTCGACTATTGTGGGGACTGTCGGGCTCTTGATTTGTATGGTAGGTGGGGTTATGTATCAGCAGTCTACAAGCAATAAGCCGAAAGCAGTTAATGTAGTTACAGCACAAGAGACAGAAGAACAACAGAAGTTACTTGAAATGCAAAACAACACACAGGCAAAGAACAATGAAAAGGAAGTCACTGAGATAGAGGAGAAGTGAAGGGCTTAAAATATGAGCATTCTTTCTGGGCTTTCTTCCATCTTGCATATCGAAACCATTCTTTGATTGGGCATGGCTGATGAATTCTCAGGAAAACAGCAATCTCCATATGCACAGAATACTTGCATTGAAGATTCAGACTCAGGTTTAATACATCTATGGCGATACATGTGGTCAGTCTTCTATTTCCCGAACTCTAAACTTGATCTTCTTCAGATTGATACTTGATTTTTACATTTCCTATCTGACAAATCAGGAGGATTTGGTTAGAATTTTGCGTTCATTTTGTTTCATTTTACTACCATGAACATCTTATTTAACCCAATCAACTTCTTATCATCGTATTGGTGCCTAAGATTATATATAGATATAAATGTATATTTTAGATCAATGATTATCTCCAAACCATTGCTTGGTGTCTGTTACCATTTTGTTCCTCGTGGTATTTATAAATAACTATGTTTTAGTTGTTTCTATTGCTACACATCGTGTTCTTGTTCTTGTATCGTCGATACGAACATTCAGTGTAGAGTTCAGTAACTGTAACCCCTTCTGTTTCTGGTTTCCCCTGATAAGTGGAACCAAGGAAACCCCGTCTGTTTATGTTTCTGGTAACCCCTTCTGTTTCTAGATTGCATTTCAATAAATCAAGGAATGATACTTCAAGGGGCAGCAAAACCATCAATGGTTATGGTGCCATTCCCATTTTCAAATTCGCAAAAGATTTTCCGGTACATGTCACTGTTGGATACATGTATGTGTCGAACTCAATGCTATTTGGATGATGCTCTCAACCGATTTTGAATGTAACGTAATTATCATGTGGGTTGTCATGTCAAAGACGCTAAAATTTTAATGTCGTAATTGGACCAATTGAACCAGTTCAATCGAGAATCGGCTGGTATGGGGGTTCATCTGTCTAATATTGGAAATTTGAAGAAGTGTTGTGAGCAACTTCAAAACCAAAACCAAACATTGAAATTGGAAAAACCGGATGAGAAAGTCCTTTTTAGGTTCTTTGTTAATATGGTCTTTAATTTAATCAATCGAACCAATTCAATTGAGAGTCGGTTGATCTAGTGATTCAACCTTCTATAAAATTGGAAATCCGAAGAATTATTGTGAACCGCTTAAAAACCAAAAATTGAAATAAAAAAAGATGGATGAACAAGTTATTTTATGGCTTTTGAATTTCTTTTTAGGTTCCTTGTTAATATGGTCTTTAATCGAATCAATTCAATCCAGAATCGATTAATTTAGTGGTTGTAAATCATTCATAAATATAAACAAATATAAGAGCACACTTTATTCCATTAAAAAACAGATTAATTCAAAATCGTTTAAAAACATTAAACTATTTGTATTTTTAAACTTTAAATAAGTAATATAAAAATATTTGTCTGAAACGGATCTATAAATCTCGGTGCATGTCAAGGGTTTATGTAATGAACTTTCCTGTAATCTTGAGTGATAACAGTATAAGAAATAGAGAAAAGATGATAAAATAGAAAAGAAAATTTTAGTAAGAAATACTGAATCCAAGGGGAAAACAGTCGTAGTTAAAGATTTAACAAATATCATATCTTATCCCTAGACCATCTTAATTTCTTTAAACTCATATTTTTACAATATAATTAAAATAAAATTCGACTAACAGTTATTTAGTATCTTTCGACAGTCCCCTTAATACGATCTTTTATAGCATCATTCGATTTTCAGTTCATAACATTTTACCCAAATTGAATATCAAGGGTTTGTTTTATTTATTTATTTAATTATTTTTTGAAATAGAGTGTTTTGTATTGTATTAAAAGAGTACTCGTACAAAACAAGACGTGAACAAGGGTTGTATTAAAAACCACTCCTAATCCTAATGAGAGTAAAAAGAGTGCAGCAAATCCATGTCGGAATTAGAAACACATAATGCGCATACAGTCTCAATCCACTGAGTCTCTACTCAAACATACGAGCGCTAACCTTACACAATTATGCCCCAAGACCAACTAACCTGGGAATTGCCCACCAACTTCAAATTATAAGGCACATTACACCTCACAAACCTTCCACAAAAGCCAACTGAACTCAACTTCTTTAAAAGCACTAAAAAAAACGAGTACCAGATTCCCAAAAAGGCCAAAAACCAACTTGGCAATATTACGACTTGCCGGAGGCTGCTCTCGCCAGCAGAAAAACTGAAAATGAACGACAAAGCCAACCAACAACATAGTTTCTTCCACTCCAAATAATCACCCAAACCATACCACTCTACTCCACACTGCCTCACCAACTCCATGACACTACTTCGAAACAAAACAAACACGCGATCCGCCACACTACAGCCAAAAATATCGAAGGGAGATCCTCGGGTTACAATCGAAGGAACAACCCAGACAAATTTAAAGAATGTTGAGTGAAAACATATATATAAAATCTTGGTGAATACCAAGAGTTATAGTCGAAGGAACAAGCTGTGTACTTAATATAGTTTTCAGTTTACGTTTTTAATTTCCAAGAACATCGTTTCTGAACTTTGAACTAATTCTGTAAGTAGATTTGTAAATCTTTGGAACCAGAATTTTCATTTTCATATATATATTGGATTAAACCGAAAAGGAACAACCCATTTAATAATAAATAAACAAATGCATGGGGTGAGTCTTCGAAACTATAAACACATTTCTTGAATTCAAATTTACAGTAAATAAAGAAATAATGAATGACGTCCCAAAAAAAGAAAGGTTCCACTCACTTTTCAAATCGGAGAATACGATCCTGATTGGAGGAGCAGAAAAAGCGCATAAAACCCAAACAAAGAAGAGTAAATATAAAGGAGGGTTTCATAAATTAAAACTGGGCAAATGAGGCATGGATTCTAAAGGAGGGTTTGGGAACCTAAAATTTAGGGTAAACTACTACTTGCTAGCTCATCTGTTTCGTGTATTTTTTTTGTCATCTAATTATTATTTTTTAAAATTATACACAATGATATGTTTTATTTTTACTTTAGTCATCCATCATTAAATTTGATCATTGATTTAACAGGAGTAATAATATGATATGATATAATAACATTTTAATCCTCAAAACTTAAACATTCTATCAAATTATCATAGTTCAAAATAATTTAATAAATCTTTAATATTTAAAAACACTATCAATTTGGTCCAACATACAATCCCAAAATCTCTCTCAAATCTCAATCTTCCCCAACACTCATTGCTCAATGTGCTCATCTCCCATTTACTCGACCGTCGCGATTGTCTCCCCACGTCAGCCACACACTCCCATAGAGAGGCTAGGGAACGAGTTAACAAGCGAATGTTGAACGGAGCAAGGCTAAGCACATAATGAAGTTTTATGCAAATAAAAATGGAGTGAAAGAGCTCTTAATCTAGTGATTAAAATTATATTTAATAAATGAAAAAAATAACACAATCACATAATAAAATATTAAATATTTTAACCCAGTAGAACCTTTGTCACCTTTTCTGGCACGAAGAATTTGTTCTCAGTGCCATAAAAGGCAAACCCGTGGAATCCATTGCCTCCACCACGATACGTCGGTCCCTTTTTTTAACATAAATTCTTCTACTTTCTTCGTTACATTATTTACATAGGAATAACCTAGTATTTAGGTTCATTTCTAACGGCCTAATCTAGAAATATTTTTTTAACATAGGTTAACAACAAAATTTTTAAATAGTATAGACAAATCAAACTATAAAGTGAAGACCATTAATAAAATAAATAACTAATTAAAAAAATTTAGATTTTAAGGTAGACACTAGAACACGTGGATCTACCACTGCCTCAACCTATATGCTAATATAAATATTGACCAAGCACTAATGCAATATGAGACACCATATACTCTAGCAACATGTAAGATTCAAATTCACGACTACTGGCCATAAGAGAATGATACATTAGGAAATAAATAGTATGCTACTTGTACAAAGAGAGCTCAAACGCCTAGTTAATAATCCATGAAAATGTCAAAACGGCCAAAACACCAACAATAATCATTATATTTAGGGAATAGTTTGGTAGGTAAGGGGGCTAATCTGGGCTTTCCACCAAATCATTGGTATTCTGCCCGAATCTTCCGCTTCATAGAATCTCAGACCTCTCTCTGCAACTCAAAACACACTTTGGATTTTTTTTTATTCTTTCCTCTGGACTTCCTAGTTTAAGATGTGAGCTTGTATTTATTTTATGACGTGGTTCAACTTGTTTTTTTCATCCTGCAACAGATCATCGGAAAACACAGACAAGATGAACATTTTGCACACATAATCACCTTTGGAAGAAAAAGCCATTAATTATAAAATCAGTAGCCATAATGAAAAATGAAATAAGTTATTCAAGTTTACAACCTTTACGAGGGTACTCGGGAGCCACAAAGTTCTTTGATGTCACTTGTGTTAGAGCATCAATCTAACACAATACCCTGATCATCAAATTTAGCAAATCAATAATTATTCTTATAATCTAAAGCTTAATAACCGAAACCATTTCTAGATGGAATACAAAAGAAACATAGAGTTGCATGCTGATGTCTTTACATCGATCTGTTCAAAACCAAATGATAAAAGCATCTTCATGAAACTAGACTTTGAAATTACCATCCTAAAGGAAAAAGAGATTTTTTTATGTTATTAAGTACCATAAACATTATTAATTTAGAATGTTTCAAAAACATTGGAAATTGTACAGAAAAAGACCCTAACATTTCCTTTTGCTAATACTAAGGTATTGTTGATCCACCCAGAGACTAGATAAATTCTTCTAGGAACCTATTATCTAAGGGGGGGAAAATTAAATGAAGTATGTTTAAAAAGCAACTATATGTAATTATGATCTTCCCATGCCTGAAAACACCACCATCTTAACAAAATGTGGGGTTAATAGCAACAGAATCCTAGAAATTTTACTAATTAAAATTTATTCATACAAACGATAAACATGCAACATCCATCACAAACCAACCTCTGGAGGGTCAAATTTGGCCCCAAGGTTGCTAAGTTTAGCATGAGCTTCTGCATAATCCTTGAAGAATGTTTCTTGATCTTCAGCGTATTTCTCAGCATACACCTGTAAATACAATAATGCTTAGCAAAATGGAAACTATATTATCTTGCTCACTTAAATTGAACTCAACTTATTACCTTGAAAGAGGGGTCTTCAAAAATAACAGAATCTGTTGGCAACACAAGCAAATCTTCATCCCTTTTTGCTTTAATGTCCTGTATGGATATAAGAGAACCAGAAACTTTTACATCTTGTTTTACTTGAAACGAGAAATTGATTTCCATTCCAAACCTTGAAGTATGAATTGTCAAACTTCAACCATTGCACTGTCCAGGACTGTCCTCCAGGTGCTCCTGGTCCATCTTTCTGTCATTCATGAAAGAAAATATAGTTTAAATCCTAACTAGCTGTCATTTTTACAACAATGGTCACTGGAGCCATCAACATTAACGTTTCACTCAAGGAAACCAATTTTTCTAGTAATTATGAAGACATTAATCATACCATCGTCCAGGTCAGCAAGAACAGATAACTTGCATTTAAAAAAAAAAAAAGCAGTTGATGAACTTTACTCGGTAAAACAATCAATTTGGTCTATGGAAGATGCTGACAAACAGAAATAGAGATAACAATATGAAATTTCTGACAGTTAACTCAAGATCATGTCACATCTTAAGGCAAAAACCCTAGGTGATGGAATAACTATATGACGTTATGCCCAAATTCATTCTGTTTGTGGGGCATTTTCTGTCTCTGAAATTTTCATTTTTTCTGAGGATTTAGTGCAATGATCAGCTTTAAAAGCAAGTTAAATATTCTTTCTCCATGCAAAACCTTCAATAATTTTCTAAATAAATATCTCAACCATCTCAATAAAACTATCACATTTTGACTTTTGGGGTCATTTTTTTAACTTTGACTCATTATTTTAAATATAATATTGAATTTTAAAATATATATATTTTAAAATCTATGAATAAGTTTCTTAAAATATTTTATAATATTTAATTAATTAAATATTTAAAATAATCAAGGTCAAAGTTTTAAATATCTGACAAAAAAGTCAACTGCAACATATTAATTGAGATAGAGGGAGCAGCACTTTGCACTTTAATAATAAGTATGGCAGTCTATGCTAAGCATTTGCTCCAAATCTCTAGCCTCAATCAAGAATTACTTGTGACAAAGAGCATAGTTAAGTAACCATGACCACTAGATTTTTCTACCCGTATTAAAACAAACTGCTTACCGTATACTTGGTCTCGGGTTTACCCCAACCGCTACGTTCTGGTCTGGACCTCCCAAGTGTATGTGCCCCAGATAATGCAACAATTTCCTACATATCAAAGCCAGACGTTTAATATCATAGTGTACCATGATAAATACAATTACCAACAACATTTTAAGCTTACCTTGTCATTTAATCCCATTCGGTAGAAAACCCCCCGTAAATGATCAGCAGGCGAAGGGGGTCCAGCATCTTAACAGAAGAGAAACACTATACAAGTTAGTCAGTGGTCTCTAAACATAAGTAGAAGCCAACGTATCATTACATATGAGGGCAAAAGGAAGCAAACAGTCCAAATTACTTGATGATAGGCTAAGATCTAAGTTCCAAACAACCTATAATTACAAAGTCTGGCAACTTAAGGAATCTAATAGTTAACAGCTGATAATCAGCTACAAACTTCAGAAATTAAAAATTCTTAGGAAGAAAAGAAATTAAAGCCTGCAACATAAAATTGTATTAATACCATTCTAGATTCCTAAGTAATCAACTGCTCAAAAATGGTGGACAAAGCATGGTCAACGTGCCTAAATTCTAATTTAATCTATAATAGTTCTAGTTGAGGTATGTGCTCAATGTTTTCGATTATGAACACCTAGGGGCATCTATTTTTTTCAGATAAAGATAACTTATCTGCTAACCATGAGACACTTCATGGAAATGCATGAACAAACCAGAAATCCAAAAGATGGATTAAAATATGACATCCTCAATTCATGGTCTAACTATGTAAGAAGCAGCAGCGCACTTTCATCCATGGATTAAGCGCCTCACATTTCCAGCTACATTCCTCCATTTAGGAAATCAGGCACGACAAAATCTTCCCAAAAGTTACATTTATGAACAAATCATTCACAAATACATGGTCCACTTACCAGGTAACCTGCCCTCTTCAGGACACTCATTAGGAGCAGATACATCCACTCTTCCGTATTTCATGGGAATTTTGGGCCCTCCAGCCTCCTGAAATTTCAATTTGATTCTCAGCACAATAAAAATAATCAATCAAAGCAGAAATAAATTAAATAGTAATAAAAGGGATGACCTCAATAGCAGTAGCACTAGCCAACTGGAACAAATCTGCATAAGTTACACCAGAGTACTTGTCCTTGATAGGCTGAATAAGATTCAGTGCATTCACAAGACCTGAAAGGCAAACTTTTGAGACAACAATTGTACAAGTGCATTATTACATTTGATAAGTACAAAATAAAATGATACCAGCGTTGGCTGCATGTTTCAGCTCAACTTCAAACCTAAGACTTCCATTCGCTCCACCCCTTTGAGGCCATGCTTCAATGTTCTTGTTGTAGGTACCAGCATCGTGCCATCCAAGACGAACCTGCAGTGCAAAACATCAAATTAAGCTTGTTCTTTCCTATTCATGAATGAAATCGAAAATCAAAAAGGAAAATCGGAGGTATTTAAGCTCTCCCTCCAACTCCAACTCCAACCTTTACTTAAGAAACTAAAAGTTAAATCACTCTTCCGTGCTTCAAATATGAATAATAACTATCAGTAAAATCAAATAGAATTAGACTCAAATAAAACCGAATTCAATCTACACTTAGTACAACCAAATGAGTCCTCTATATCAGTCAAATCAAATCAATATTAGCCTCAAATGAAACTCCATTCAATCTACTCCTTTAATGTTCGTAAACAAATCTCCAATGCTTCAAATATGAAATATTAAACATCAGTAAAATAAAATATACCGGGATTCTGATTTTGTTCTGCTAAATTTTCTACAAAAAGAAACATAAATAAAAGTTTAATACCAGGATAGGATGGCAAAACTTAGATTTGAGAAGTTCCTTGATATCTTCTCTAGCACTCTTCAACTGATTAGGATCCGAAGCAGCGCATCTCGGACTTGCTACAGTGCTGAACCTTCCGCTACTTCGAACACTGGCAGTCGATCTTCTCTGTTATGTCAACAAAACAATAGTAAGTTAAAAGAAGAATAATATGAAGACGAGAAGAAAGAAGCAAAAGAAAACGGGGAAAGGGAGGAACCAGGAGAGGAGAGAAATGAGAAGAGAAGGCGAGGGATCTGAAAGAGTAAGAGAAAGAAAGAGAAGGAGTAGAGCGGAGGAGAGAAAGGAGAGAAGTGGAGGAAGAAGAAGAAGCAGCGAAGATTCGAGAAGAAATGGCGGCTGTGCTCAGAGACGAAGCCATTGGCTTTTGGTTTGTAAGAAACAGCGTGGTCGATTGTTATGGAGTTGGTGAACTTTGGGCAACGCCAAACACGCGGCTTCCTATATATTATGTTGCCAAATGCCCTTCTCCTTTACCTCTATCATACATACACGCTGCCAAAACTTGAGCCGTTGGATAATTTCGGAATCCATTTTATTTTATTTCTTTTATATTATAGGATTTTCTATTCGATTTTCAAGATAAAGAGATTTTATTTTACTTATTTTTCTTGAGAAGAGGAGGTGGGAGGACGATTTTAGTTTCTAAAAATTACTTACATATTTGAAAGTTTTTTTTATATATAATTTAATTATCAACAATTAATATCGTGAGTATGAATCTATCTTTAACTAAAGAATCAATTGTTCCTATTTAAAGAAAATCAATATGAAAGTCAACCTAAAGACCAACATGAAAACCAGAATAATTGTTCCTTTTTGAAGGCTAACACTGATTTTTTTTGAATTAATAATTATATCCGATCTATTGATCGACTAATCTAGTTCGGGCACTGCAGAGGCGAGGACGACCATTCCAACCCAGTTTGCTTTATTTGCAAACGACAAGATTTGAACCCCTGACCTTGCTTAAGAGACCTAATACATCATCCTACTAAATCAACTTGATTGTTAGTCTAACCAAAAAAGAAAGAAAACTTGTGCCCTTTCTATTTTAACCCATACGTTTAATATAGCTTCAACTTTCACTAGCGATTCCTCCACCACCCTTACTGACCTTCCATACTCTAAATCTAAAGTGGAACGTCGAAATGCAAGGTCTATGATAGAATACACAAACAACAATTTCAACAACGAGTAGCCATACAAAATTCCTTTAAGAAATTGCAAATATCCTAAGAAAAACCTAATAGACGGTGAAACAATGTAGGACTTCAAACTAAATGTTTTGAGGTGTTTTAGAGTTATTTTTTAAGCTTTGTTTTGAGTTTTTTTAGAGGTTGTAATTTCGATATTGTTTATAGAGTATCGATATCGTATGAAATTAGCCTTGAAAATTTGAGTTTTAAAGGGGTGATATCAATATCAATTTACATAGTACCGATACTCTCTTTGACAATATCGATACTAAATGGTTTAGGATATTCTAGTGTGACATTTTGGTATTGATATAATCAGTTCGATATCAATACTCATAGATTGATATTGATACCATTGAATCATACTCCCTATTTAAATATTCATATTCTCTAATGTTAAAAAATTAGAAATATCTCTCAATGCACCCGAGTGACTATGAATTGCTATGAAACGAAAGAGTAAGCTTGGAAAATCACCTCATTACCTCAACCATAAGTTGAGTTGTAAATCAAGCACAAGGCGTGAAAGAATTCTTACAATGGCTAGCGTTTATGGTATGGTTGTGTTTTGCGCGTTAATGATGATGTTGGAAAGACTATGAACACATTCCAACTAGAATGATATCTTGATAAGACTTATTAAATTCTTATAGTGGCTAGTGTTTATGGTATGGTTGTGCTTTGAGCCTTAATGATGGCATTGGAAAGATTATGAATACATTCCAACTCAAATGATATCTTGATAAGACTTATTAAGGATCTTAACTTGCTATAAGAATACTTTATACTTGCGCATAATGATTTAAGAGAACGAATTATGATTGAGAACAATGTATATAGTCCAAACACAAATTTATAAAGGATCTTAAACTTTGTTTTCTGTTCGAACCATCCAAACTCAGGGTTCAAACGCAGAAAAAAAAAGTAGAATTATTATTATTATTATTATTATTATTATTATTATTACTTATTAATTTTCAGTATTTTATCACTACAATTCACAGGTAAGATTTACTCATTAATTACAAAAACCAAACTTGTGAATATACGTTAAGAAATATAGTGAAAGAAAATGGGAGTAGTAACCACTTCATACAATGTGGCGATACAAAACATTTCGTCAGTTCTGGAGGCACAGTATCACCTAACCTACAAGTTAACAAAACAAAAGATGGGTATTATCCCAACATAAAAAAGGTAATAGTATTTGTTGCAGAAGAAATTCGAATATGAAATGGAACTTGGAAAAGATGCATCTCCTCTTGGTAGTCCCAAAGAATTATGACGGGTCTGGTTGATAATAACATTTCCACTATGTACACAATAACTTTACACCTGCATAAGAGTTGCAAGGCCAGCTAACACCATAACTGTCATTTTCCGGTAACCTAGAGATAAGAAAAAGATTGTAATTCGAATCCCAAACTCGCTACATAGCACCTTTTAAGGGTTGTTCCATTATGAATGGTTAGCTACAAGAACGAATGGATCTATACTGACCTCCGTAGTCAGAAACTAAGCAAGATCCTTTATGAATGGTTAAAACTCTGCATACTACAACATATAGTTTGCACACTGCAAAAGTTAAAGAACCAAAATTAGGAATAGAAAAGTGTTAACAGTCCAGGATATTGCTAATTTTACATCCACTCCATAGCTCCCTAAAGATGTGCCTGGTAGAGTGGAAAACTGAAATGATGGATAGTGTAGGGTGAAGAAGAGGAAAATAAAACTTTCGACTTCGGTACGAAAGAAAATAGGAAAGACAATTGTTTTTCACCCCTATGCATAAAAACAAATTAATTCTTAGGTGTTATATAAAACAAGTTGGACAAAGAACATAAAGGATGGAAAATCAGTTGAAATACAAAAACATTTTCAGAAAGTGCATAAAGAGATATTACCTTCGCATGACAAATCTTCGTTATAGCCTCAACATGAAAATTCTGCAGTTCTTCAAGATATGTAACATCCAAATTACTGATATCTTCACCCTGTAAAAAATAGTTTATTAGTTTAGGTTTAAAACTTTTCCAAGTTCCAACACAAGTTCAAAATCATGGGTCTGAATGGTGGCATAATCATCTAAAATTAAATATACATACAAACCATTATCATAACCAACTCCATACACGTAACAATCAGATACAACTTCATAGCAGACACATGAAGAGTTGAAGACTCGCATCATATTTGAATAAGGTATACCATAAAATACACACAAAAATTGAATCCCAATGGTTCGCTTGAATGCTTGATTAACAGGCTTTACACCTATAGAACTTCAGAAAAATGAAGAGATGGTCCCGAGACACAGATGATCACATTTAATCTGAAAGCTGGAATTTGCCGGTGAATTAATGGTAGACCAAAATCCAGTTTACAAGGCTGAAACTAACACACTGACATTTAGTACAATTGCTAAACACATTAACAATCAGATGATTAAGGAAAAGACCAGGGAAGAGCAAAAAGAAATGTAAGTGTAAAAGAATCCAGCATTTGCCTATGTGGTGCTATCCTATCCTTCATCAAGTTTAAGGTAGATTGAACGCACGCTTTATCTAATACCAAAAGTTAACCATTTATTTTTCCCATCTACTTCAGTTGACAGTATTGGTCTTGTACAAAGTTAAGAGTGTTAAGTGAATATTCGCAGCAATTAAGATTAAGGCTAGTTGTGGCCTTATATTGAGGTTTGACTCATCCACCTATTCCGACTGGTCTGTCAAATCTATTTTTAACACTCATCTTATGCCAGGATCAATTTCCACAAGAACTGTATGTACACACGTTATAGCTTCCCTAGTTTGGGAAAGACATACATCCCAATTAAATACAACACTAATTATATATTCATATTAGGGAACAAAAGAGAAACCTTTAGTTGAAGCCAACTATAAACTGGCATGGGAAAAGAAACATACGTGTTTCCGTTTCAGAGCATAATCAAGAACAACATACCTTCATTCTGGAGACAAGCCTTTTCTAGTTCTTCACATCTTCTCCTTTCTTCTTGATAACAAGCTCTTAACTCTTCATATGTTTTCATCCCGTGTAAATTTTCAAAGGTTTCTTCCTCCTTGAATGATCGAAATGAGTGACCATTGGATGAAAGAGGCCCATTTCTTGCTCCTGTTTGTGCATCATTTGATGATATGTCCTCAACATTAACACCATGTTTTCTCATCTTTGCAATTAGCATCCACATGTTTGTCAGTTCATTTTCCAGATCTTCCTCGTGCCTATTCACTTCATTAATTCTTCTCCGTAAATCACTTTCTATTTGCTCTTTCTCAGATAGGGCAGCTTCCAGAGCCGCTTCCCTTTGGTTTCTCATGTTAAGTTCTTTCTGCAACTCCTCAATGAGGATTCCATCCCCTTGTTTCCTGTGACCTAGCTCAAGCCTATCACTCCTTTTATTTTGTCTAAAATCGTGTGTAGTAATCCTCTCACAACAATTGGATCTGCAGCGGGCCTCCTTCGCAGCAGCCAGTTCACCAGTCAGTTTAGCATTTTCATAAGAAAGCCTGGTTACTTCTTCAGCCAAGTTTCGAAGTTCAACTGCAGCTGCAGCAGCCAAGTCTTTTGCATATGAAGCTTCCTCAGTCAGTTTATTACTTTGAATTTCAAGACCGTACTTCTCTTCTGTTAGTTTCACATTCTCTTGCTTCAGGCTCTCTATCTCAGAAGCCTAAGAAAATAAAAACAGGTTGAAAACATCAGTAGAACCCCTCATGGAAGAGTAATATGCATCCCTAATTAAGCACTGAAACAGAACTGACATTCTGAGTTCATATTGCTTAAGATGCCAGAACTTATAAAGCAAAAGGAATAACCTGAATAAGAACTTGGGAATTCAAAGAGGTACATTTGTTACACTCTTTAGCATCCTCCCGGGAAAATACTCTATTCAAGCTCATGACACTAGTTGGTGTACTGTCATCACCATGAGTATCTTCACATGAACCAATTCCATTCTTCTCATCATTGTGCTCTAAAAGTTCGTCGGAACAAGTTTTTATTATAGTCTCATTATCTGCACTTTCTTGTGGACTCCTGGAGCTTTTATTATTCAGCTGTTGCCTTAGTAGAAGAATAGTTTCTTGCATCTCAGCATTCTCTGATGTCTATTAGGATAAATCGAAGATTATTAATAATACAAAGACTAAATAACCTATGGGGAAGACAGTGCAACTGTAGAAATTCTACCTTCATTTGAAGTTGCTCCTGAAGAATTCTATTGTCCGCTGATTTAATCTTAAATACACATCCCATGACAATGCATTTAAATTAGTAAAATATTCTCGGCATTTGCCATTGAAATACCATTCCCACAACAACAATATAAATAGGATAAAATACCTCAAGTTCAAAAGTTTTCTCATTTAGCTGTGTTGTAAGCTTTGACAGGGCCTACAACGGAGAGTAATAAAATCAATCAGAAAAAGTGAGGTCAAGAAAAAGCCAACAGAGAATTAATGAAGATATTCCTATTTACTAGCTACCAACCCATACCCAATCCGCCAAAAAAGTATTAAAAAGAAAACAGCAGTTTATTTTCTATTTTTTGGGTCATCAAAATTCAAATTTTCAAAGCATTGTATTTTCTTATTCTTCAATTGATCCTCAGTATAAAGAAGTTTAATGTAAGACAGAAGTTACATTGAAACTTTGAAATCAAAGATTACACGTTTCTTCAGCCAATTGGCTGTGAAGTAAATTGGAAAATCCAAGTTGGATATCATGTAAATCTGTCTTCTCAATTAAGTAGCATCACTCAAATCTTCAGAGATCAAGTATCTATGTGAGCTTCCAAAGCTTAATTTCCTATTTGTGGATTACATCCATGTAACTTGATGCATACTTACCTGCGACATTTCAGCAGTATTTAATGTATTAGGCGTCTTCTCAATTGATCCAATCATTCGTTGTTCCAAAACGCGTATTTGATGCCTGTTTTCATTGATTACGTCCTTCAACTTCCGCATTTGCTCCTGTATTAAGCAATATGAGCATCACAAGTTACCGATCATTGCCAATTAAATTTAGGCATTTGCAGAAGGTGCAGAATTTTAGTGTAGCTCACTCTAAGCTGTGAATCTCCAGGGTTGCTGGCTGCTTTCTCAGAGAGCCTTTTCAGAGAACTAATAGACAATGCCACTTCTCCAGCTAGCATTTTCATCTGCTCTTGAAGAAGATCCATTTGATCTGTAATAGTGGTCCCACTCTGGAAAGTGCATTCAACTCCCAGTCAATATATCGTTTCAATCCTAAGGAATACTATAACACTTACACATTTTCGACAAAAACCACAACATGAGCAGACAAACAGTTTTCCACAGATTACAAGAGAAAACTTATTAGAACTTATGTAAGCAATGGCACAACATAAAATCATAAGGACCAAAACCAATATAACTGCCAAAAAATAAGTTTCATTAAATGCAACAGTGGCAAACTACCAAACAAGTTATTTTTAACAATAGCAAAATCAATACACTTCCCCTAGAAAATTCCAAAAAGTGTTAGCCATACATAATTCCGAGACTCCTATGCATAATATAAGTTAGTCAACACAAAAATAAGTTCTAGAAACTTCTTTCTATGATGCATTACTTGCTACCTTGTAATACCTATATATGAAAACAAAGACCCAAAAGTAATTAGAGTTCATACCGGGGGCAAACAGCCTTCAACAGTTGCACTAAACAAATCACCGGCTTGTGTTCTTTCAGGAAATGAATCAATAATTGCAGCATCGTCTCCTCTTTTGCTAACTGATTTTCTCTGTCCATCTTTCATATCACTAAATGTAACTTTTTCCTGCAAAGATTTAGAACAAGATGCGGGAGATCCACTTGCTGAGCTCCCACTATCAGCACTTGCTGATACTCCAGCTAGATTCTCAGGTTTCTGCAGAGGAAATTTATTAAAGGCATCGATTAGTAAATTAAATCTATAACTATAAAATCAATGGTGCCAACAGCAGGGGGGAACTTAGAAGCACCAAGATTGAGTTGCAATCTCATTTCAACATTCAAATACAAAGCTGAGCAAGAGAGAGACCTTACAGAGAAATTTTACATAGCAGTTGGAATCCTAGTCCTTTGCAGTTACTTATTAGGAAGTCATTTAAACTTTTTCAGATTTAACTTTTTAAAAACTATAATGATTGCTCCTGTCTTGAGAAAAAATTATAACTTCTAAAAAAATGTGAGATATTCAGGGTTATCATAATTGCATTCTTTGATATGAAAAAGTTCTTGTTGATTGCCTGTCATAGTTATCCAAGTCTTAGATTTAGCAGAATTGAGATACACACACACACACATATGAAACATCAAGAGACAGCCGTACGCTATTGGTGTAAAGCCAAGGAAGAGGGAGTATAGGTTGGGGAAGGGTTAACTGTATGTAAAATGATAAAACACTCACAGAAACATGAATCCCATTGATAGCAGTTTGCATCAAGTATGCAGAGAATAGAAACATAAAAAGGATAGATATACTGAACATTAAAAAGGTTTACAGATATAAGTTGAAAGAAGCATACCAACAAAAAGTTGAACAATGAAACAACAGAACAATGGTCACATATATTTTCTACTGTGACAAACACCATAGTCCACAAATAAATCTCCACTTTCACCCTCTATGCTAAAGAAGAAATAACAAAATATATATCTGAACTTACTCTTAGTTTAAACCAGCCTAGCATTCCTCTCCTCCTGTTCTTTTTATAATCTTTCACCAACTCATCCAGATTTGTTACATCATCCCTTCCTTCCACTGAGAGCTCAGAAGCACAGCTTCCAGCATCATCATCAATTATGTATTCTCTTTTCCTATCTGGCAAATATGCTAGCTGCATCATCAAATGTTAATGTAAATTTCATGAAATAATACCCGGGAACTCAAATTGTCAAGAGAAGCACACCACTGAAATATTTACTGCAAAAATCGGAATCTTACATATCAATGTGATATCTAAGATTGTGAAACACTAGGAAACTATTATTCATTTTAATCATGCTTCAAATGATAAATCACACACCTCATCTTCCCCAAAAGAATGCCTCCGTCTATGTCCAGGCCTTTCAGAAATGCTTGATGGTATGGAATTCTTGGTAGAAACCAGAATTAGTTTTGTTAACCGCTGAATTCTTCCCATCAACGCTGCCTTTGCTTCTTCTTCTTCTTCCAGTCGTGACTGTAGTTTGACCTGACCAGCTTCCAGCTTTGACACCATAAACAAGTGTATATCAGATACAAATAACAAGAAATGACGAACCTTAATAAAATCAATTTTGATGTTTAGAGGGCTACATTGGAGTATTTTCATTTTAATTGGAATTTAAGAATACTAATACTACAGCACAATCCATCACAATGAAAATGATTCTGTCTGGGTATTGGCTTAATATCAGTAATTTTTACTGTATATGCTTCAGTAGAAATATTCAGAACGACAATCAAAATTCTTCAATAACAGCAAAAAAACCTGAAGCTTTAGATTAACCAGATCTTCTTGTGTAGTCGCAGCCATATAAGGGTTTTCCATAATCCCCTGCCGTAGTTGCTCAAGTTCATGCTTTAAAGATGTAATTTCCTTCTGGTACTTTTTTATAAGGGACTTCTCATCCATAATCTAGACAGGTAAGGAAAACAATCACATGGAAGCCCAATAAATTTTCATCTAACACTAGAAATAAATACAAGTCTGGTATTTACCTTATTCTGGGAAGCTTTGATTTCTACATGCTTGCTTCTATGGGCAAACTTCAGTGTGTTATGTGTTTCTTCACTGTTGCTAGAGGCAGGTGTCACTGTACATATGAGCTGCGACGAGGTTGAAAATATAAAGAACATTATTGATAAACATGCTTTGGCAATACAATGATGATGGCAATGAAAAGCAGAGAATAGCCGAGGCAGGAACATTATTTTCAAAAAGGGGAAAAGTCATAAGCAAACATCTTAGAAAATGCTAATAATAGAAATACTGGATTTTCTAAGATGCTAAATTGAACTTACAGAAATCCGTCCATGGCCACTAAGGGATGTCTGCAATAAGCGGGTAAGCTTGGAATCTCGGTATGGAATATGAGTTGCTTTTCCATCAGTCAGTTTAGAAATTACCTAAAATGAGAGTTAATAAGCAAAAAGTCTCATAATATGCTCATTGAGTTTGAGCCAAGAATATATGCCACTAGCAACATATACACTAATAGGCCTGTTAAAGTATATGTACGCTTGAACAAAATCTTTAAAATCATTCAATGACAATTTCAGAAGTTGATCAACTTATTACACCACAACAAATAGCACCATTGCAAGTAAATCCAACTGGAAAGTTCTCCAAAATAGTTATTGATAAGATTCAAAAATAGTTATTAATAAGATTCATAGTTATAAGTAAATTGCACAAAATAAAGATTAGGTAGGAATAACGTCACAGGCAAGGAGGGAAAGGAGACCAAGCATGCAACTAAACAGAAATGGTTATAACCTAAACATCTCAAGTATTAAAAAGAAAAATGATAATTCATTAGAAAACAGCAGAGATATCATACAGTTCCTAGAGTCAGTAAGCTTTTATTTATGTATGAACCCTCTTTTCGACGCAGTCCAGTTGTCTCAGTTTTAGAACTTTCGGATCCAGCAAGATCAATTAAGTTCTGCCAAAAAAAAATAGTCAGACATAGATATCAACACCAGGAAGTTTGCATAAAAAAGCCTCAGTCAAAGATCAGCTAAACCTTGCAGATGTCCTAACTTCTAATAATGAAAATGACTAAAGTACTTACCAGTTGGGATAACGTCACATCGTCCCCGTTCATTTCCCCACGTGGACTGCTTTCAATTGTCTGATAGTTAATAGAATATTTCAGTAAAGAGAAAATTTATGAGGAAAAAATTGAACCTAAAATCACCTTGTAACTGTTACGATCCTTGAAAATCTAGGGCAGGCTCATCAAGGTGATAATTCATGATGGTTATTAAGAACTGTTTATACTTTATACCAAATTCAAAAAGATTGTCCAAGAAGACTAAAAGGAAGTCTAAATAGAATTATATTGAACAACTAATAAAAACCTTCTAGGGCATACATCCTCTTCCCTTTCAAAATAGCCAAAAACCACTTCAATTTCCCTTCTACCCAGCACATTTGAATACAGAATGCCCAGCCCCAATTACCTCTGCCTTTATTTGATAAGGGAAATTATATAATTTAAGACATTCTGCTCAAATTGTATACTTCTAAAGACAAGAAACCATTAAGTTTTTATTTAAACGAAAGAAAGTACCAGGGTAAATATAGTGTGACTCCGGCTGCTAAGAAGGTTGAAATTATTAGAACCAACATGTCTATGTTCTGCAACATCAGAAAAAGACATTAAAGGATAGCAGAGTGTGGAAACGAGAACATGAGAGCGAAACTTAATCAGGAAATCATAAAACCTGAAAAAAGATTAAAAAAATTAAAGTATCAAAAGAGAAATGTTCATGTATAGAAGTCTTAGAATAGGGGAAGTGAATCTCAATGTACCTTCTCCAGATGCTATCAAAGAAAGAGCATGAGCAGGGGATAAAACAACTTCTTCTTTGATTCCCTCAACATAAGTTCCCTGCTTAAGTTATATAACACAAATTAAAATAAAGAAAAGTTTAAAACAAGATACAAGCTGCAGGGGTTTCTGTAATATAGTAGGCATAAGTGTAATGTAAGGTTAAACTTAATATACCACAAAGCAGGGCATATGCTGGCACAAAAACAAATAACATGGAACAACCTCCACAGAAAATTATGGAGATTACAAAAGAAATGCACCTAACAAGGTAAAATGTAGAGAGAAAGGTAGATCACCTGAGCATCCTCTCTTATCCTTAGATTCTGACCTGTTGTATCAAGTAAATCATTGATGACCTGGTGACAAAAGAGAGCAAAAGCAAGAGGTTTCATTAACACAACCACCAAGCAAGAAGTCTGAAAAGCATTCACTTAAATTAAGCAGGGATCTAGGATACAATATGATGCTTCTAGCGATCTCACAACGAACTGAAAACTAGAAAGACTAAGAGCAATTGGCCAATTATGCTTACAGCAAAGCTATAGTAAAAATCTTTAGGAAATTAGTTCATCTTCAATTTACTAATGCAGTTTCCAGTCCAAATAACCTATTTTATACAGACTGAATAGCATGGTTGATCTAATCATCTGATGCTTTACATGCTTGCATCGCTCCTTTGAAAATAAGCATGACAAGAAAGAATATAATTCCAATGAATATAAAAAGCAAACAATGGTACTTCAATGTTTATCCATACGTTCATTAAATTTTAAATCCAAAGATGAAAACCTAACCTGAACAAAAAATTGAATCCATATGAAATACACTCCTAAGCTGAATAGATATTACGAAGCATTCTGAAACCCATGATAGTATTAAATACCTAATATAATGATTAAAGCCTAAAAAATTTCCCTCCAACCCCAATAGCGAGCACAAACTTTAAGAAGATCATGAGGAGACAAGAGAATAAACACTCTGCAACACAGATAAAAAACACTTATTGCCTTCTAGCTACTTCTGTATGTTTCCTTTACACGCAAAAAATCCTATCTCAGCCACATATATTAACTTTTACCATGTTAAAGAAAATGTGTTAGCTGAGCATAATAATACAAAGGTAAATTATCATAAACTTAATAAAATGAAAATAATACCAGGACCAACCTCATTGTAAATCTCGAGATATGAAACACGAAGAAGAAACTCCCTCCCAGGTGTCTAAAATATAAAATCAAGGTTACTTAAGGCAAAGATATTGTCTAAAAACACAATGAACAAATGGAAGATCAACCAGTTACCTCCTGTATGGTGGAAAATACATCCTTAACAGCTAACGGAATAATTCCAGGTGATTTTTGCTCCCCCTATGTTAAAAAATAAGGCCAGGGTTGCAGCATAATAGATAAGAAGTAGACATAGGATAAATAAGATACATTCATGAAAGCAACCCCGCCACCCCAAAAAAAACAAAGAGAGACGTTATTTATTACTAAAATATATTGATTCTCTGGTAAAAGTATTAGAAACAGAAGTATTAGAATTCACATATATTCCCAGTACCCACCACATAAATCATTCACTAAAAAGCTCTAATACCTAATAAAAAAATGTCCATGGTTATATATATATATATATATATAACTGATCAGGATTCAGGAAGACATGACAAGTGAGAGGTGACAGAATCTCTTGTTCTACACTTACATGCATTGTATGAGTCTTCCCACTACTTGTAACACCATACGCAAAAACTGTGCCTGCATGCAAGAGACAGTAATTATTCCTCTAATTATTCATGTTGAAGTCACAACTGGTGTATGTTATCGCTTTTCACCACTTTACTGAGAGATTATTCTTTCTTTTCTAATTTCAATAACTATAATTCCTAAGATGGTTAAACCAGTTGAGTATGCATGCTAAGATTGAACTTTCTTAATTATAGACTGTTTAGCTAGTTGAAAATTTGATGATCATATTTCACTTCTTCAAATTAACAATGAAAAATATGTTCAGTTAATGCTGAACCAGAACGAAAAAAAAAACATGGGCGTGCATTCTTTCTTTCTTTTTTTCATCGCAAACACAAGCTATATCTTGATAAAGATGCAAAAAAGTAAAAATGAAAAGCATGCTTTTCTTCGCTATTAATTTTGCATGAGATGTGTTCTGTTCTGAAAGATTTTTTGGTGCCTGAAAAAAGGTTGGTTAGTCTATTCTAATCAACTTGGAAATTAATTCATCCAACACTATACCAGCATTTCCACATGATTAATATTCTCATGGACCATTGGACATTCAAGATATGGCATCCATTCATCAAAACTGAACAGCCACAGTCTTAAATCACTCATATTGACTTACAACAGACTTCTCTCTGTAGTACTTCAAAACACGTGCAAAAAAGAAACTTACCGTTTATCCCTTGCATGGCACCACTTACAACATGCTGAGCAGCAATATCATATACATGGCGTGTAGTTGTTGCTGGACCAAACACTCTATCTGTAACACATTAAAATCAACTTAGAAAATCAAAAATCATAAGGAATATCAGAAACAAAAGCAGAAAGTAACAGCGCTCCTGAAAGCTGAACTCATTAAACTATCAAATATAAACAAAAGGTAAGGATCTTCATAAACTATCAAATGTAAACAAAAAGTAAGGATCTTTGTAACCAAAATCGTATATTAATCAATTCAATTTTTTTAAACACTTGCACTCCAGATTCCAAAATTCCAAAAGTATATTTATAATATATATATATATATATATATACATTTGTACATTATTGATTTACTCAGCGCAGACGTATCGAAATGGAAGATAAATTGAACAGAATAATAAAGTTAGTGAATCAAGAACACGCAGAATGAAAGTTGAGGGCAATTAACAACTCTATAATATAAAAGAAATCATAATATAACATGAATGAAAATTTATTGCACTCTTAAAACTCAATAAAGTAATGTAAGGAAAAAAAATACTAACCAAAGCCATAAGCAATAGAAGGATTAAACTCGTTCCTTACTGTATAATCCCCATCTGCGTACCACGCTATCTCGTCTCCTTTATTAATTTCTCTAGGACTGTTTCCGACAAATTAAAAATAAATTTTAAAAAAATGAAACGCCGAAGCTTATGCATTGGTCAGCGGAAGCTAAATAACGGACCAATAGAGGTCAAGCACTGTGAAGGAGTACCTGAGAGGACGAAAACGGACTGTGACGGTAACATTCTCTTTAGGTTTGGAGGTCTCCGGTCGTTCGAGGTCGATAACGGGCGGGCTAGGGCTCGGGCCAGGGTAGGGACTAGACGAAGAAGCTGGAGACGAGGATAGTCTAGAAGGAAGACGAGACGACGTCGTTGACGAAGCAGTCCCCGGACGAGCGGTCGGTTTGGAAGAAGGCGATGGAACGGGAGATTTACGTGAATGGAACGGCGAGATGGAAGATCGATGCGATCTACTAGACATCTTGTGAAGGAAAAGTCAAATGTAGAGTCAAGGTTCTAGAGAGAAGAAAGTACGTGGCCGGCGACAAGAGGGCGAAGCGACGACTGTGAAGAAGACCGTGCCGCCCTTTAGCTGCTTCTCTCTCTTCTCTCCCTCCAAAACTAATTTAATTTATTATTTTTTTTCTTTTTCTGTTTGATTTTGTATGCGTCTGTCTGAAATACGATTCTTTTATTATTTTAATTATTTGTCAGATTCGCCCTCGATGTCAGGTATTGTTGTGTTTTGAAAATTGAATTTTTTTGTACGGAAGAAAGGGAAATTTGTGAAAAGTACCTGTTCTTTTTTATCTTTTTTCATTTTGACCCTTACCTTTTCAAGCTCTGGAAGAGCGGAGCTGCGAGTTGCTTCTTTTTCCAGCTTCATGTGCTCTGCATGATCAACCAGTAACGGCTTCGACATACTTTGAAAATAATAAATAAAATCTAATTTTATCCATAATATTTATAAGACGTTTTCCCCTAAATATCATCGATGATCGATATATTTACCGATCTAATACCGGTCAGATTATATTTCCTGATCTAACACCCGTAGCAATAAAGCACGCCCCTTGACCCGTGCTATATGCTGATTTGGCGCCACGTGTGGTATAGCGCGTCCCCTGCACCGCGCTATACGCTGACTGGGTTACACGTGGCTATAGCGCGCACGTGGCTATAGTGCGCCCTCTGCTCCGCGCTATACCTATTTATTTGACACGTGGGGTATAGCGCGGTGCAGGGGGCGCGCTATAGCTTTAATTACCCGGCCGTTCACACCCCTACCATTCCCTATAAATATCTCATCCTCAATCACTTTCATCACACCAAATTCTCTCAAATTCTCTCAAATATTCTCTTGTTTAAGGTATATTTTATAATATTTTTAATATTATGTATTTAATTTATTTAAGTATTTTACTTTATTTAATATTTTACTAATATAAATTTTTTGCAGATATAATGGAAGGCGTCTACTTCGCTTAGATGGAAATCATATATCTCGACACTTTGCTGATACGGTAACATTTTAACGTTTTAATTTAATTTAAATTATTAGTAATAATTTGTTGATTTATTTAATGCATGATTATTAGATTAAGAATTAATTTTTATAATTATTTATTTTTAGGAGAATGATCGTATATTAGATCATTTTATTAGGAATCTTAAGTTAGTGATACCTAGTCGTGTCTTGCCGTATTTAGTAGAGGTTGTACTTGGTTACATATGTAGATATCAGGGTCACTGTAAGATAGAATCAGACCTTATTTCTGCCTTAGTAGAGCGGTGGAGGCCGGAGACCCATACATTTCATCTTCTGTGCGGAGAGTGCACGATCACGCTTGAGGATGTTTCTATGCACCTGGGGCTTCCGGTGGATGGAGATGTGATATCAGGGATAGCTTCCGGTTCTTGGACTACTTTGTGCCGGGAAAATCTACGACGTGTCCCGGAAAGTTTTATCGGAGGTAGGATACCGTTAAATTGGTTAGATGCCAATTTTCGGGAGTTGAGCGTAGACGCCTATGAGGATGAGGTTAAGATGTATGCACGGGCATGCATATTGTAGTTTATAGGAGGGTTGTTGATGCCAGACAAATCGCGCAACCTAGTTCACTGCATATGGTTGCGACATCTTAGCGACTTTCGTCTCGCCGGATCATTCAGTTGGGGCTCGGCAGTTTTGGCTTTACTGTACAGGGAGATGTGTGGAGCCACTGACTACAGGCGTAATACTATCGGCGGATGTCTCCTGCTACTGCAGTCTTGGGCATGGTATCGATTGCCCTTTTTATGTCCCATTGTGAAGAACCCATTCGTATTTCCACTACTTCTAAGGTAATTATAAAATTGATTTTGTATATTAATAATTTTATACAGCGTATAATAATTTTTTTCCTTGAATAGGTGGTCTACTGATAAGAAAAATCATCAGGAGCTACCTGATGATTTAGAAAAAATTAGGGTACTCATCGATCAGCAGGCGGGCACACATGTATGAATTTTAATGTTTAAAAATCGATTTTAGATTATAGTTATATAATTAGATTATTATTTTGATAAAAAAAATTATATAATATTTGTTTTAGTTTGAATGGGTGTCATATTGTATTGATGATGTGAGGGCGGTGATCCCACCTGAGTTGAAGGGCCCATTAGATGTTTGGATGGTGATGGTCCCTCTGATCTGTTATGCGACCGTCGAGTGGCACTGTACTGATCGTGTGCTCCGGCAGTTTGGTTGTTTTCAACCAATTCCGGAAGCACCTCGCAATATGGACGAGTTGCATAGCTTAGATAGACATGGCAAGACAGATACAGATTGGCTGGTGAGGCATCATGAGTGGGTCGTGTTGTGAGAGGATCGACACATCGGCACCTTCCCCGTAGAGAGCCCATTTTTTATGACCTCTTGATGTATGCTGACGGTTATTATGAGTGGTTCAACAGTAACGGGAAACTGTTTCTGCTTCCCGAGGATGCACGAGGGCAGACCTTTCCGCGACGTCGACAGAGACGTGATCCGACATAGCACCATCGTCCCCCGACTCGTGGACGGAGAGCAGGTGCTTTTGGTTCATCCTCAGCTGCACCAGCAGGACCTTCACAGCAGCCACCGCTGCTATATATGATGCCGCCATCACCTTTCCATTACCAGATGCCGCCGCCGCCTTCACCTGGTTTTATGACCCCGTCGCCGCCACGTCACAAATGACCCCTCCTGGAGGCTATTATGGGTCTATATTTGTAGATCCGACTTGGGGTTCATATACTAGATATTTAGTGGGTTCAGCCTCATCACCCATGGCCACAGCACAGACACCTCCTGTACAGTTTTCACACTCAGCGGTGTCTGGGTTTTATGAGTTTTCCCAGTTTTCGCAGGCCGGTGGGATAGTTAGTTATACACCTCTAGGGTCCTTATTCTATGGAGGTGTTTCATCGTCATCAGCTCCTCATCAACCTAATGTACCTGCTCAGGACGACGACGACGACGATGATGGTGATGATGATAACAACGAGGAGTCAGAACCAGTGATACGAAGAAATCCTCCTCGAGACCGACAACCACCGCCTTGCGGAACACATTCACGTCGCAGGCATCGATATATTTTATTTTTTATTATATTTGTATTTACTTTATTTTGTTAAATTGTAATTTTTTATTATTTCTCATTTAATACTTACTTTATTTTGTTAAATTTGTTGGACTTTTTTTTAATGTATTTCAGTTCATTTTGTTTATTACAATTTAATATCAGTTATTGTAATTTGGTTATCATTTACCATTTAATACTTATTGTAAGTTTGTTGTATTTAAATTATATTCAAATACCAAATTGTTATTAGTTTAGTAAAATTTAATGATTGTGTTCATTTTTTTAATCTTCATCATCGATTATCGAATGACATTAACTTGAAGTAAATGCAAATTAAAGTACAAGAATTATTATTTGATAAACAAATACATCATTTCCTCATCAATTGTTACTTGTGACAACAGAAGTGGACATGTTTTTCTAGTGTGTCCTGGGTTTCTACAATGCCCACAACTTCTGTCTTGTCTAGATATTTCTCGAATATCCATATCGCAATGAATTCGATTGGATTTTGGACGACCACGCTCCCTCTTTAAACTTAGATTTAGTACAATCGGAAGCCAATCTTGAACCTCATCAGGGTCTTTGTCATTACCTATGGGGGGAAACTCAAATTCGTATACCTTAAAAACTTCAGATAGTAGGTATACGGGATCCACAAAATGGTTATAGTCTTGATGTGTATGCGAGCAAGCTGCTATCACATGAGAGTATGGATACTTCCAGAGCTTGAAAAAACCCGCAGTCGCACGTTCTGTCCCTTAGATTTACTCTTAACGACACAGCTTCAATCCCTTGAAGAGGTCGCAGTAACTCTGTGACACGAAACATTTCATGCCTTCTATAGAAGCTTGTTACAGACATTCCATTTGATGCAGCAATTTTTTTTTGTAGATCTGCAACTAATCTAGGGTGATAGACATGACCGCCTTGCATCCAGGTTTGAGCTTTTCCCCCGAGCTTCGCAAAAAGCGCCCCCAAACAAAAATATGTAGTTTTTACCAAAGCCGCTACAGGTAAGTGACGTGCACCCTTTAAGGTTGAATTGATTGCCTCAACCAAGTTGGTCGTCATGTGTCCATATCGATATCCACCATCATATGCGTTCGTCCACATTTCTTTATCGATGAGGCTAATGTAATCGTATCCTTCCTCGTTCTTCGCCCGCAAATCTTGAAGCATTGATTCAAACGTTCGAGGAAGAAGTTCGTAACCTGATCAAAAAATGTATAACTTACTAACCTGATCAAAAGGATCGAAAGAAAAAAAAAACTACATCAGTTTCACTTACCCATGTGCATAAGTAATTGACGCTCATCATTCTTCTTGTATCTTCCATGGCAGTTCGCAGCAATGTGTCGGAGACAATACCTATGTTGGACAAAGGGTGATTGCCACATTGGACCGAAAGACTCCATTGCTGCTTTGATCCCAGCTCCGAGATCATAAATGATATAGATTTTTTCCCTCGTGATAACATGTGCACGTAAATTTCGGAGGAAAAAAAACCCAAGAATCTGTATCTTCTCCTTCGACAAGAGCAAAAGCAACTGGAATAATGTTGCAATTTCCATCTTGGACAACTGCCAATAATAAAACTTGATTGTATTTTCCATACAAGAAAGTCCCGTCGATCTGGACCACAGGCTTGCAGTATTTGACAGCATTAACGTACTGTGGGTAAGTCCAAAAAACCTGGTAGAATTGGCATCGATCGCAGAGAACTCGATCATTATGGTATGCATAGGAGGTTTCGAAGTCCACAATTGTCCCAGGATTCAACGTTCGCACCAGCCTGGAAGTTCGTTGTAAGATGCATCCCATTCACCATAAAGTTTGACAATGGCATTTTGTTTTGCCAAGCAAGCTTTTTTATAGGAGACAGTGTACCTACTGCGATTGTATAGCTGAAATCAACACTACAACAGCTATATGAGAGCTTGCTTTTACCATGGGCATGATGGCTTGGCATATCACTTCAGAGTCCAAGTTGGGATGATCTTGGTTGACCCCTCCAGCACAACATGTGTGAGGACCGTTG